GGGCCCTGCCATCCCTATGGGAGACTTGGCTTCACCGTGGTCCAGCCCTAGCCATTGCTGCAATCCTGGCAGTGAACCCAGTGGATGAAAGATCTTTGTGTGTCTCTCCCTACCTCTTTGAACCTCTTTCTAACATAAATAAATAAATCTTTGTTTTTAAAAAAAGAAGGGAAAAAATATAAAGATGGATATAAAGGCGTTCTTGGCTGTTGGGTAGAGCTACATAAGAAGTGAAAAAATAAAGGAAATGTATAGAATGATGTATCTGTATGTCAGCAACACCATGCTTTTACCCACTTCAGGATCCTGTGCACTGCAGGCACCTCATAAATGTTGACTCACTGAATTATTACATTTCATACTTTCAACATGTGATCCAGTGCCTAATTAGTGAGTCCATGCAATCCCTCAGAAAAGCAGGTTACTTAATACACCTCCATTTTATATTTGAGGAACTAGAGACGTGGCCTGGTTAAGTGATAACTTCAGGTCACTCAACCAAGACAAGAATCCAGAAGCTCAGAAATTCACCAGTGACCACTGACCTGGTCAGCTACTGAGAAGGCCAGGAACTAAGAAAGAAAGAGCTCCAAAACAAGGGTATGTGAAGCCTTGACCCAAAGGATTTTTAGTAACTTCAACTCACAGCTGAAGAACCCAACTCACTAAATTCCCTCCAAAAGCTGGCTTAACAAACAGTTGCTTCTAAGTACAGGTGAGAGTCTGTGCCAGAATATCTCTCAGGTGACTGAGGAAGACTAACTGGAAAGCTACCAAGGTCTCCTAGAGGAAGACAACTCCGGATTCCATTCCAACCGTCTCTCACCAGCTGCAACCTGCAACACCATAGCCTCCCCAAGACTCCATTTCCTTCCTTATAATGTGACAATGATGACTATCCTGTAGAACTGATGTGGATGCTGCAGATGTCCAAAGGCCCTTAATCGGTGTCTGGTCGACAAGGGGCACTCAAAGACAAGCTGACAAAATGCTAACTACAACAGTTTCACTAAGAATGGGAGTAAAGTATCAGTAAGTTAGAGGTCATGGGAAGGTTTTACTACCTTGATGAAAGGAAGCCTAAAATAATTAATAAACACATGGACAGCACATTCAATCTGCAGATCATAAAGCTCATTCTTTTTCAGTATGAAAGAAAAGCTGTCTGGCAGATCAGAGCAGATGTCACCCTGGAGCCATGCCCTTGACACACACGGTAGGCTGGCCTTCGTGGCTTATTTTCCTTTCAATCTCTCTCCTCTTTCCTCCCTCTGTTTCCTCTGCTTTCAATGTACAAGACTCAGAAAACATCAAAAACTGCATGATGATATATCAAATACCACACAGGCTGCTTTCTTAAAAAAGATTATTTATTAAAGACAGAGAGACAGAAACAGAAGAGATAGAAAGATAGATAGTCACAGATGTCAGGGTTGGGTCAGACAGAAGCCAGAAGCCACGAGCTTGCTTTTCTAGGGCCACTATCAGGGAGCTGGATCAGAAGTGGAGCAGCTGGGACATGAATCAGAGCCCATATACGATTCTGGTGTCATATACAGAACCTTAACCTTTTATGCTACAATGTGGCCCTCCGCACCACATTTTACAACAGACTTCCAAGATTGAGCACAAATGTACTATTATGTTTGTGAGCATTTTTTCCCCAAGATTTATTTATTTTTATTGGAAAAGTAGATCAGATTTACAGAGAAAACAGACAGAAAGCCCTTCCATCCACTGGTTCACTGCCCAGGTGGCTACAACAGCCAAAGCTGAGCCACCAATCTGAAGTCAGGAGCCAGAAGCTTTTCCTGAGTCTCCCATGTGGGTGTTGGGTCCCAAGGCTTTGGGCCATCCTCCTCTGCTATCCCAGGTCATAAGCAGGAAACTGAATGGGAAGTGGAGCAGCAAGGATACAAACTGGCACTCATATGGAGTCTTGGTACAAGGTGAGAATTTAGTCACTGAATCATGCCAGGCCCTATTTGTGAGGGTTTTAAGAAAGAATTAAGCAACTTGATGATGTATTGAATGGCATGATTTGTGTCAGAGTTGGTGAAATATGTCAGAAGACTTCAGATTGAGGAAAACCAGAAATATAAGAGCTAGGAGAGGTTTTTAAATTAAACTTTCCAATTTATGGTTTCTTTTGACATGATCAAAGCTAAACTTTTACAGGCAAGTTTTCTCGATAATAAAACAAGCAATTTCAGTTTACTCAACAGCTTTGCTTAATATCCTGTTATCCTGAAAATTAAGTTGCATATTTGCAAATGTTGTTCAACACACTAGTCCTAGATTCTTTGACTTTGCATTTAATCCTCAGTGGGCCACAGCGGGACGAGCCCTGTAAAGTCATGAAGTGTCCCTAAATCACAATGTTCTGTGGGGACACATCTCACCTTGCACCCTTTTCTTATCGCTATATATTTTTCCCTGGGTGATCTTGCCCACTAGATGCTGATGCCTCCAACCCTCTGCTTATTTCCAGACCAGGCTATTTGAGTTTCAGATCCATACATCCAAATGCCTCTTTGAACAGCTCTGCCTGGATGTCCCATCCTCAAACCCATCATGCTCATCATGGAGTTCTCTGCCTCATGTACTCCTGTTGCTCCTTTCTCATTTTCCTTCCTTCCTGGTGCCAGGATCCATCCATTTGCTCAGGCCAGAGACAGAGCAGGTATTAGCACAGAGGAGGGGCCAGTGTTGTAATATAGCAGGTTACGTTGAGGCCTGCAACAACAGCATCCCATATGGGCACTGATTCCTGTCCCAGCCGCTCTATGTTTGATCCAGCTCCCTGCTAATGATCCAGAAAAAGCAATGGAAGATGTGTTTGGGCTCCTATACCTGCATGCAAGACCTAGATGAAGTTCCTGGCTTTGGCCTGGTCCAGGCCTTGACACTGTGGCCATCTGACAAATAAACTACCCTAACTGTGAAAGAAATAATAGTCAAGCTGCCGCTTAGGATATTCATATTCCCTATCAGAATGCCTGGGTTCAAAGACTGCTTCCACATCCAATTTCACCTTCCTGATGATAGGCAACCTGGGAAGCAGCAGGTAATGATTCTACTGGTTGAATCCCTGCCATTTATGTGGGAGACAGGGATGGAGTTCCAGGCTCCTGCCTTCAGCAGGGTCCAGGGTGGCTGCTGTGGGCATTTGAGGACTGAACCAGTACATGGAAGACCTCTCTTTGTCTCTCTGTCTCTTTCTTCCTATCTTCACACTGAAACTACACAGAGATTATAAATAAATGTAAAATGAAATGAATCAGCCAACTGCACCCTAGAATCTAGGATTGGGATCCAAAAACAAACTGCAAAGCTCCCTATGGTGTGGTGCTCATGACCTCTGCAGCCCATGGGATCCTTCTTCTGGCCCAACTGACATAACCTGCACCAGGCCTCTCCCCTCAGTGGCATCCCAGCTCTCACTGCACATTCACTGTCCTTTTGGTGGGTGTGCTTTCTTGGCCCCTTCCCCTCGGATGTGAGTCCACCTTCAGTAGCCTATGCCTCAGGTGTCTCTCACTCAGCTTCACATTCAGCCACTTCCCCTCGAGGTTTGTCCAACAAAAAAGATGAAATCCTAACATTTACCATATGTTTCCTACATGTTAGGCACTCCCTGAGCAGTATATATATAAAATTTCATTCTCAGACCAAATCCATAAGGCAGGCCGGTGCTATTATCTCCATTGTGCAAAGAGGCTAACTTGATACACTCATAGAGCTTGTAAGTGGTGAAGCTGGAATCTGGATCCAGGATGTCCATCCTAACACTAAATAATAAACCACTACTACTAATCAGTACCTCTAATACGAAACAAAGCACGAAAAGCAGAGCAGACACAAACAAGGGGTTTAAGACCTAAGAAAACAAAAACGGCCAAAAACCACGCAAGTAGTGATTGTATTCCCCGACAAAGGAAGAAGAAACAGTCTCCAAAAGAGAACAGCAAAGGAGGAGATGCCATTAGGGGATAAAAAGCCTCCACTAATTCACACACAAGGGGCATTTGTTTCCTAAAAAGGGGACAACTTCCAGCAGAGGATGTGCTTGCATTTTTCTTTGTGGAATTTCTCTTGCTCTGGCAGGTGGGTGGCAAAAAGACTGGAGGCCCCTGGAATTACAGCTCCTGGGCCTTGCCTCAGAATAAGTCCATTCGTCTTGGCAAAGGCCCTCCCAACGGAAAGCACAATGTGGCGTCTGGGGCCGGCCGCAGCCCGGACAAGCAGTCAGCCCCAGCACACAAAATGGGGACTGTTTTCCCTGCAGGCAGCTGGCGCGCCCTTTCCGCCAGTCCCAGCTGCCTGGAGCCACGCGCATACGCAGGCTGGGGCCACGCCCCTGGTGAATATTCATGACCGTCTAGTGCTCAGAGTAATGGGGTGGAGGGAGAATTCCTGGACCTCAAAAGAGATTAGAAGGACCAAAGGGGCTTCCCTATAGGGAGTTAGAAGGAAGGAAGGAGCTGGGTTTTGTCAGGGCTTGCTTCTGAAGACTACAAAGCAGAGGGGCTCAAGGAAAGTGAAGCCCAGAGTTGCTAATCCAGGAGAGGCCAAGCTTTTAAAAGCGCTCCCTGCTCCTTGCAGTTTATCGGATCTTTCAATGTCCATCCACACCAGCGGCATGCAATTACTGGTGCTTGGCAGACAGGCTCTAGGCCTGAGAAGCATGAAAACACCAGAGTAAGCTTTTAGCTTTGCATTCAGTGCTTTCTTCGCAACCTTTATACAATTAAACAACTGCAATAACCACACTCTCTTCACACTCACACGCATTGTTGACGTATCTAATCTATGGTTTTCTTATCTGTGTTCTTCTCCTAGGCTAGAATCTTTGAAAAAAAAAGAAACATGTGCTCTTAGATGTAGTTGAGACACAATCAGGGGATTAGCTGTGCTCATATTTGGCTATCATTTTTATTAGTGAAGTGATTTCCCAGAAGAGATTGGGGCTTGTAAGGGGGTAGGAAGGATGGACTTACTGTCTTTTGGTTGTTATTGGCGTTGTTGGAACCAGAAGAGTTCACTTTAGAATTCACTTAACAGAATTCATTGGAAACTTTGTTGAGTGCATCTATTCCATTAATCCATCCATTAGGAGAGTCTCTGCTTCTTACCTACAAGTTGAAAATGGAAGAAATATTATTACTGGGAGGAGACCGAAGAGTAAGAGAGAAAACAGCACAAAAGCGTTTAACTGCTTTAGATGGCATAAACCCATCCCCCACCCACACGCACGCCAGAGAACTGAGCCAGTGTGCAGACAGAAGGGCTGAACCACTGTGAACAGTCTAGAAGAACTCATGGGAAGGATGGCAGGGGTCACACAAAGAACATAAACAAATGTCCTAGTCACCGTGGATTCTAGAAACTAGAGACAGATGGCTCTGCCATTAATTCCCAGCAAAGTTCTGGATTGGCTAGTTGAGCAAGCTCTTAGGCAGCACTTGAAACAGGGAAACATTAAGAACTGTCACCAGTTAATGCCCCCAGCAGCTCAGAACTATTCATCTGGACTCATTTCACTTTCAAGGCCCTGAAGTTGTCAAAGCATCTGGTGTCTTTTAAACATTTTTTCCATGGAATAAGTGTTTATGGACTGTGTATTTGTATGGCAAACAAAAACAAAAACAAACACACACACACACACACAAACCTTAAAAGGTAGTATTTTGGAGGTTTTCAACATAAAGAAATGTTAAAAGTCCAAAGAGATAAATATATTTCCCCTGCTTGAATATTATGCTATGTATTCATGTAATGGAACATTATATTGTACCCCATAAATATGTATAATTTTCCATGTCTGTTACATTAGAAAAAAGTTGTTTGTGACTCAGGTTCCAAAAAGAGATGCCGTCCACAGCCACCCGCACCTGTCCAAAGCCGACCACACAGAGCAACACCTGCACAGATAACGGGGATGTGTCCAGACGTCACTTTTGCTTAATTTTAATAGCAAGACCTGATCTGGGTAGCCGGGATGAAGGGGATAGGAAGCACCAGCCACATTACCATAACCTGTAATGTGTACAAGAACTAGTTTCCAAACTGTGCCTGCACAAACTGAGCCCCTCTAGGTGTATAATGATAAAACTTCCCTTTGATTCTCCCCCAAAATAAGAAGTGCCTGTTTTCTCTTGCCTTGGGAGTCACAGCTTTTTGGAAATGCTTCTCTGGCTTTGGTTTGGTTTGCAGCAAATAAGATTAACTTCATGTGACAATATGGTTTTGATTTTTGCTCAGCAAGAAGCAACTCACTTTAAGCTAACAGAATCAGTAAGAATTTATCAGGAACTGGACAAGATGGAAATTCCCTTAGCTGTTTTTTTAAAATGCGGCATTTGACTTCATTACAATGCTAGAAATAAAACGATGGCTCTCTACCCCCACCTCACCTTCCTTTGGTTTTTCTGTAATAGATTCAGTATTTTACATTAGCATTCTGAGCATTTGGAAGCCCAAAGAGAAGATACTTTAGGGCCCAGAGCCATAGCGTAGTGGTTAAGTCTTCACCTTGCATGCCCAGGATCCTATATGGGCGTCAGTTCTAATCCCTGCAGATCTGCTTCCCATCCAGCTCCCTGCTTGTGGCCTGGGAAAGCAGTTGAGGACTGCCCAAAGTCTTGGGACCCTGCACCCACTTGCTAGACCTGGAAGAGCTCCTGGCTCCTGGCTTTGTATTGGCTCAGCTCCAGCAGTTAGGCCTGGGAAAGTAGTGGAGGATGGCACAAAGCCTTGGGACCCTGCACCCATGTGGGAGACCCAGAAGAAGTTCCTGGATCCTGGCTTCGGATTGGCATAGCATCGTCCATTGCGCTCACTTGGGGAGTGAATCATCGGATGGAAGATCTTCCTCTCTGTCTCTCCTCCTCTCTGTATATCTGACTTTCCAATAAATAAATAAATCTTAAAAAAAAACCCCCAGAAATATAATATGAAAAATAGGTACTCAAGAAAGGATAATCGTTGTCAAAGAAGCAATGTAAAAGTGTCAAATATAAACTCAAGAGAAGAACTTGATTGAGTGATTAATACGAAAATTATTATTCCTTTAATTATTTAACATCATTGGGAACTTACTATGAAATAAACAAGTAATGTATTTTAGACACAAACCAAAGTTTATTAATATAAATATCTGTAAGCTAATAAAAAAAAAGGTCACAATTAATTTTAGTTGCCCAGATCCTATCTGAAATTCTCTGCCCTTTCTGGACTGTGTGCTTGACAGGGAACACAGAACAACTCAATAACACCCAGGATGGCACATGAATCAGAAACCGCAATATCTGAAAAAAATTGAAAGAAACAGTGGCTTTTATTCAGAAGCAAATCTGGTATGTGAAGAACTATGATGTGAATTATGGCAGAGGGTTGGCTTGTATAGCCTCAAATGGTAGGATTCAAACAAATGGATGCAAATTGTTACAAGACAGGTTTTGGATTTCTTCTCAATATGAGAAGAAATGTAATGAGCATTCTTGAACAATAACGAGTTCAGGTTAAGCAGCTGACTGCAATGCTGATATCAGCTATGGGCATTGATTTAAGTGCCAGGTGCTTCACTTCAAATCCAGCTCCTTACTAACATGCCTGGGAATGCAGTGGAAGATGGCTGAAGTATTTGGGTCCCTGCACCCATGTGGGAGGCTCTGATGGAGCTCCTGGTTCCTGGCTTCTGCTTGGCCCGGCCTCTGCCTTTGTAGTCATTTGGGGAGTGAACTAGCAAATGGAAGACATTCTCTTTCTCTCTTTGGTCACTTGGTTTCCTATTTTCTTCATGTTTTTCAAACAAACGAATGAATCTTAAACCAAAACAGGAAGATTACTGATTTTGCCTAGGAGTTAAGACATCAGTTAATGGATTACAGTGCCTGCATCCCATACTAGAGTACCTGGTTCAAGCCCCAGCTCTGGCTCTCGATCCCACCTTCCTGCTAAAGCAGACCCTAGGAAGCAGGAAATGATGGTTCAGGCAGTAGGGTACCTACCACCCATGTGGAAGAACAGGATTGAGTTCCTGGATTCTAGCTTTGCCCTGTGCCAGCACTAGCCATTTCAGACATTTGGGGAATGAATCAGAAAATGGACCACTTGCTAGCTAGCTAACTCTTTCCCTCTGTCTCTCTGCCTTTCAAAAAACAAATAGCAAGCTCATAATTACTGAAAGTATTTTTACATATATGGAAACCTGCTGTCAAGAATAGTGTAGAAAAGGTTCTTGCATGGGAAAAAAGAGTAGCCTAGTCTTACATTAGTCATACACTGTATTCATGCCACCACCCCCAGTCCTGGTCGATATGACTAGTCAATGGCAGTTCTCTTTCCTACTGAGCTAAACTCAGCCTAGTGGTTCATCTCAATGCAATAGTCCAAGTCATCACTATCAACTTATCAGAGCTGACAGCCCACTCAACCCCTGCGATCCCTATAATTTAGAGATTTCCCCCAATAATGACTATAAAATGCATCTGCAAATTAAAGAGAAGGAAAATCAAAGAAAATGTAAAGAATTTCCAGTGTTCTGTGAATGTTAGCGTGTTTATGCCTGGATATGAACCTTTGTGTGAACTTCTATGTGGATTAGGACATACGTGGCTTGGTTCTACCCCAAACAGAAGTCACAGGAGGGAAATAATGCATGGACCATGAGAGCCCTTAAACAGTAAACAGGGAATTGGGACACGCTGATGGTTAATCACATTGTTTTCCAAATATCCATCTATTTCTCCTCCACAAAATTCAAACTTCTTCCAAATCCATCCCATCTCTTCTATAATTTCAAGTTTATTTGGTACATTTTGAAATATTAAGGGCAGGCTGGTATCACAGGAGAAAATGGTAAGAGTTTGCAAAATTAGCTTTGAGAGGCTTGTAAACTTTCAAGAGAAGGAGGGGTTTTATAATTAAGCAGAGATGACCAGGGAGGCCAGTAAGAGACTATAATGTCAGAAGATAAAAGCAAACTAGAGCAATGATTAGAAATGGGGGAGAAGAATGGGGAAGAAGTAATTAGGAAGCATTTTGATTCCCATCTAATAATTAAGAGGAACTACAAACCTAATCTAACTCCCATAAAGAGAGACAAAGGTGTAAAGACAGTTCAGTGGGGCCCAGTGCCATAACCTAATGGCCAATTCCTTGCTTACATGTGCTGGGATCCCAGATGGGCACTAGTTCGAGTCCCAGATGCTCCACTTCCCATCCAGCTCCCCACTTGTGGCCTGGGAAAACAGAGGAGGATGGCCCAAGCATGGGAGACATGGAAGAAGCTCATCTTTAGCCATTGCGGCCACCTGGGGAGTGAACTAACAGATGGAAGATCTTTGTTTCTCCTCTCTGAATAACTGCCTTTCCAATAAAATAAATAAATAAATAAATAAATAAACCTTTTTCAAAAAAAGACAGTTCAGTGGAGGAAACACATTTTTTTTTTCAAAAGATAGTGCTGGCATCACTGGAGACTGATTTGCCAAAATAAAACAATTTGATCTATACCTCTCATACTACAAAAATTAACTCAGAACCAGTATGTAAAACTTAAAACTAGATATCTTCTCTGAGTTTTCTTTTCTTTAAAATATACTTAGATTTTTTAAATGGTTTTGTTTAAAGCAAAATGTGAGCAAATAAGAGGATATACAGGGACCCAGCACAGTAGCATACTGGCTAAAGTTCTCACCTTGCATGCACTGGATCCCATATGGCTGTTCCATGCCCTCTCCAGCTCCCTGCTTGTGGTCTAGGAAAGTAGTAAAGGACACCCCAAAACCTTGGGACCCTGCACCCATATGGGAGATCTGAAAGGGACTCTTGGTTCCTGGTTTCAGATCAGCTCAGCTCCATCATTGCGGCCACTTGGGGAGTGAACCAGTGGACAGAAGAACTCTCTCTCTGTTTCTCCTCCTCTCTGTAAAGTCTGTCTTCCCAATAAAAAATAAGTAAATCTTCTAAGGAAAAAAAGTATATACAGGTGGAGTACAGAAATGCAAGAATTTTTGGCACCCCATACTCCCTTTGGCCATACTGCCTTGGAGGGCTGGGGAGGATGTCCTGACCCCACCTGGGCACGATGCAGAACTCTTGTCTCAGGAGGAAAGTTTGCACAGACTAG